TTGTACTACAATTAGAAGTTACACAGAGTTACTTAATAAAAATTTAAAAATACTAATATACTGCTAATATAACAATAGTTTTAATTATAACTATAATTTAAATCAAATATTTTATATATATATTTGATTTAATCAAATCAAATATTTATTGATTTGATTTGAAATTTTTGTATTTAAATTTGATTTGAAGTTAAATTTTTAATTAAATCAAATCAAATTATAAAACTCTAGCTATATATATATAAGTCTTGTTTTAATTAATACAGCTTTACAGTATATAACTAATTAAATTATAAAGTTTTGATAATCACTAGTAAAACAAAACTAGAAAAAGTAAAAATCCTAAAAAATACAAAAAATAATAATCTAAATCTACCTTGAAAAAACAATTTTTTATATTTATAAATAATAAAGCCTAGTCTAACCTTAATCTAAAATAACCCTAACTCATAATTCAATAAAATATATATTATTTCTAATCCGCTTTAGACATTTTCTCAAAATAGAAAAAAGCTATAAGCCAATTGACGCAGCCCCATTTATAGATGCAAACTTATTTACGTCACTAGTTACGTCTCAATTGTGTTTTATTTTATAACGATTTTTTATATAGAACGTAACTAAGTGATGTCATAAGTCTGCATCTATATAATTTAGGCCGATGATCTTCGAAATTCTAATTTGGCCGGAAATTAAGTTTTCAATTTTGAACACAAGTCACGTTACTGCACTTCTAAATTTCCTTCTAATTCATCCAATTAAAATTAGATACGATTCACGCTCATAAATATAAAGTGTGAACTAGTTTGTTATTGTTATTTGAGAAATGGTTTACGAGTTTACTCTCACTTTACTATATGATGGTCTTATACAATTTGGTTCACAAATATTATTTTTTGCTGTTGGCTGGATATTTTTAGTAAAGAAATTATTCAAAGATTATGAGTCCTCTACTGATCGTCGCGACGCCCAAGTCGTCCAGGCAATATTCTCACTTACGTTTAGTACTAGTTGCGCTCTATTTGAATTGATAATATTTGAGATTGGAGAGATAATGCATAAAGAGTAATTTAAAATCATATACTAAATTTATTTATCATTTAAATTCGTATAAAATAAAGAATTAATTAAATTGTTTCTTTTCAAAAATAATGAAAATAAATATTTGCATAGCTCAAGATGGTTTTGCTGGAAAGTGACTCTATATATATTACTCTTCCTTGTGATTATACTTATGCCATTTTATCAATTATATCTTATAATAACAAAAATACAAGAAAGTCAGTTGTTTTGAAATTTTGTAAATTTTGTTAAAAATCACTTCAATAATAAGGTTTATTACGACATTCGTTAGATTCATCAATTAAAGGTTTACGATTACGATATTCTATTGTAATTGTAATATTATGCTGGGCGACTTATTTCTATATTTTCTGGAGAGTTGGTGATTTTTTTCCAATCGAAAAAACTGCTAGCACAACTGAAAAAAGTATGATAAATTTTTTCATCAAAATAATTTTAGAAATTTTATGGAAAAAAAAATTATACTAATTTAAATTCACTTTTTAAATTCTTTTTTTTTTTTTTTTAAAGATGACTCTTCATCAAGTTTTACCGATACAAAAGTTCCTCAAGGTGATGTTTTTATACAATTCGGTATGAGTCGTGTAGGTGTAATAGGTGTAACTATGATGGCTATATTATCGGGATTCGGTGCAGTGAATAGTCCATATGCCACACTATTTTTCTTTTTGAGGTGTGTTTCAATTTGATGCTCCAGAACATGTGTTCTTGAGGTAATAAAAAGTTATTTTAAACATTGATTTTCAATTTTTTTATTAACCATTATAAAGTCGTATAATGTAGACAAGTCACTGACGCGGATATACAAGCTGCCGAAAAGAAATATCTTCAGACATTAGATATAGTTATAAGTAAAAAAAGGCGCATTTTAATCTCTCAAGCGCGTCAAAGAAGTGCTGTAGAGGTAATATTTGGTTCATTTAACTTGATCGTAAACAAGATAAATCACTGACCCTTTATTTAAACAGCAAGGTTCTCGAGTTGGTGGGTTTATGCGAAAAATGATTAATACAATGACCAACCATATGGGAATAGGTGGTGAAAGTACGTATTACGTTTATTAACTTCTATAGAATATCTATAGAACGTCTATAGACGATCTTATTTTTAATCATCATAATATTTTTGCATAAAAGATATTGGAATGCTGCGTCAAGAAGTTGTTGGGTTAGAAAATCTTAGTCGCCAGTTATTTATAGATATCGATGATTTATACCAAGAACGGGTATAACTATTTTTGTAATTATTTCGTTTATCTGCTTTTTATTATACTTTCTTTTGATCATTAATTTCGGAATAAACATTAGGATCGTCTTCAATATTCAAAAACATGGCAAGGAAAATACTTTAATTTTATGGGTTATATTTTTTCTGTTTATTGTATATATAAAATAATTATGGTAATGTAAAAAAAAAAAAAAAATATTAATTCGTAATTCGTTACGTAACAATTTCCGACGAGACTTATTTAATTTTTTCACATTATACAAGGCAACCGTTAACATCATTTTTTTCCGGATAGGAAAAACCGATCCGATAACTTATGGCCTGACATTAGCGATCAGATATATAAAAATTGATTTAAATGTCGATTTTTGGTCCCAACAATTGAGTTTCTTTTTTGTTGGACTCATGATCATTTTTTCTATTCGTGGATTACTTATACAATTATTAAAAGTTTGTTTAATTTTTCATTGTTCAATTTTTCATGATCATTAATGATTTAACATAAACTATTTCTTATTCGATTTTATTTTTACAGTTTTTCCGGGCTGTTTCAAATTCAGTATCGCGAAATGACATAGTCTTGTTATTGGCACAAATAATGGGAATGTACTTTCTAAGTGCATTCTTAATGATGAGAATGTCGCTACCCGTGATATATAGAAATACAATAACTAGTCTTTTGGGGTCAATAGAATTCAATTTCTATCATCGGTGGTTTGATGTAATATTCCTTGTGAGTGGGTTGGCGAGTGTAGTTTTATTATACTTTGTTCATCAGGCAAATAATAGTAATGTTATGCTTTCCTCTGCTTCAATGAGTTCCATATCAACTGGGTCAAGTGGAGGATCATCTACTACTCCGACTAGTGATTATTCATCTAATTATTCTCCTAATTACTCACCTTCTGGTATGGGAAATTCTTTTAATAATAGGGTTGGTGATTGGGAACATGCAAGCGGTGCTAGCAGATGGGTTAATACTGGAAATACTGGACTACATCATCGTGACTAACGTTGTCTTTTATAATATTAATTGTAATTTCACTATTAATTTTGTTTGAAATAAAATAAAGCATTTTGGATAGAATAATCATCTGTAAATTCTAAACCAAAAAATTTTCGATATATACACACAAATAAACATATATATATTTTTAGTAGACATTGATTATTTGGTTGGCGATATTTAATTAAAAGAAACAAAACAATCAATATGCACTGGTTACATCGGAGTTGAAAAGGAACACTATTCAAAGCTCACCCAATGTTAATATAATAATGAACATTTATATTAACAGGTTTTTAAATCGATTATAATTTTTGAGCTTCACTTTTGTGGCGGTGGTTGTTGTTCTTCTTCGACGTCTAAGCCAAGTAATTCATTCTTCTTTTGGGCTTGGCGATTAGCACGACGCTCACGAGCAGCTTTAGCCTTTTGACGATGTGCTTCGGCTTGATCACTAAATACATATATATATAGTATATAAAATTATCATTTGTTGATCGGGAGATGGAATCGTCAAGGTAATCGGTGATATATACGTACGCGAGGTGCTTAATACGAACTCTTTCGGCTTTAGCCTTATGGATGTATTCCATCAAAACACGCTTGTTTTTGAAAACGTTACCTTTAGCCTTCATATACAATTGATGGTACCTTTATAAAATATAATAATAATGATCAGAAAAAATATCTCATTTAATATCGACGATTAAAAGTAGAATAAATACATACAAATGCTTTTCGATTTTACCCGATTCACGGTACTTTCTTAATAATCTTCTTAATACACGTTGCCTTCTCATCCATAACACGCTAGTAGGCATACGAGCATTGGCAGTACCTTTTCTTTTACCAGGACCAGTATGTCGACCTTTACGTTTGGCTTCCAATTTTTCTCTAACACGAAAACGGGAATGAATAATCTGCGGTTTCTTGATGATTAAACCATCTTTTATAAGTTTTCGAATATTTTGACCTGTATTATTTATTGCGTAGAGATGATATGAATTATTATGCACATAAACATTTAACCCTTTAATTATTTATTGTTTAATATTGATTATATTTTTTGATGCAACGGGATAATATAATAACACCAACAGATCGATCATCGATTCTTTTTTTCAACATTTCATTATCAAGAACTAGACGAACATCACTTGCATTCGTAATTCTTATCCAATAAAAAAAATGTGCCATTAAAGCGATTTTAAAATAATTACTTACGAGAGTTTGCATTAGAGATTTCAGTTACTTCGTTTGGATCGAGCCAAACTTTCCTTTTACCACAGCCAAGTACACTAGCTGCCAACCTTTTCTGACTACTCAAGTTCACCCTTTATATAAAAATGGTCCAGTACCAATACATAAAGTAAGAATAGAACTATTAAATTCTTGTATTCATTTACAATTATTATCAACTAATCTTACATTATGAATAGAGCAATTGTCAGATTCTTTTAGTGGAAGGAAAATTAATCAAAATTTTCATATCTTTATTCACCTTTCTTGGGTCGGATGTGATTGGTCAGAAAATAATATACTCTGCGCCAAGATCAAATTTTCTCATGATCACATATCTGTATATATCTGTATAGGGGTTATTTCAATTTTTAATTTTTATACATTAATCGAAACTCTATCAATGACAGCCCCTCAAAATCCCATTACAAGAGCCATTTGGGATGGAACATTACCCATCAAGTTTTCTCTTGATAGCACAGAAGCAGCTGCATTGGGTGCCAAAGCTATAGTAGAACCTTACTTTGTAAATTGATTTTCTAGTATATTGATCTCTACCTACTAAAATTTTGATCGATTTAACAAATCATACTGCAAACTACTTTTTTGTACAGATAGAGGCACCACGATGCTCATACTTTCCTTTGTGGACGAGTCAAATAAGAAAGTATTTTGTGGATATGGCACTTAATTTCATTGGAGACGATGCGGAAATATGGTATGACGTTGACGGAACTCCACTGAAATGGTAAGATATAGGATTTTTATTTGTTTTTTCTTTTTCATTATTGCTATAGAAAGGGGCTTGTGAATTTCAATTTTTAATTAATGTGATGGGATTAAAGGCATTATCCTATAGGATTATTGTATGATTTACATACTGGATATCGGCCAGATTCTAATAGTCCGCCACCTTTACCTTGGCCCGTAACAGTTCATTTCAAAAATTTTCCTACAGATAAATTGATAAAAGCACAAGCTATTGATGCAACGCAAGACTTTTTCATGTCAATGATCAAGGAAGTAGGTTTTCGTGAAAGGTGAATAAAGATATGAAAATTTTGAT